TTACTCACATCCTTTACATTTTGATACATCTGCAACTATCAGCACAATTTAACAGACGTGTCACACACGTGAAGTAGTCTGAGGTTGAATATTGTCTCTGTGTGTGTGTGAGGGTTCATTCACTTGTGTGATGTCAGTTGAGGTGAGCGTAACTTGGCTGAGGGGCCAAATATTTGACCTATTAAACAACGGGGGGTCTCATAACCTGGCAACTGCAGTAACCAGCAGCCAGCAGGAGACCCATCACTTTCATTTCCTGTCCAGGAGGAATTCCAGATAAGTCATAACTCATGAAGACGAGGCCACCTCGCTGTGTCCAGGTAGAAGCTGTGGAGGCTGAAATACTGTCAGTGACACTCAAGAGTGTAGCTCATGACATCCAGTGTTAACTGCAGATGCATTTATAGGTCTAACATTACATGTGATTATACAAATATATGTCCTGTAATTACCACCTGTCACTATAAAATCTTCACACATGCACACTTACACACAGTGACATCAGCTGATGTGGAGACGCACAGGAGCATTTCCATATCTACACGTGCCACGGTTGATCACTTGCAGCTCCTGCACTACATCCCATGTTCAGTTCTGGTTTTGCTTGTGCTAAACCACAGTATGATTGGAGTCTGTATTTAAGAAACTTTAGCAGAGACAGGAAACACCCACTCAAAGTTGTTACCCTTTTAACTAGAATGGAACTCAGTAGATCACATACCTACGCTGACCCAACAGGCCCTGTAAAGTCAATCAAGCTACACCAAATTGCACACACTCAGATTATTAGTCCCCTAAATATGCCTGATTTTGTTCATCCAGATCAGCTTGAGACAAACTGTTGGAAGTCAATGTTAGGAAAGTGGAAAAGAAACCTTAATCAAAAGTTAATGGGTTCCTCTTTGGCCATGTCCCATCCTTCCAATTCAATAAAATCAGTTCAGTAGTTTTTACATAATCTCCCTCTAATAGACAAACAGACAGACAGCAGTGAAAGCACAACCTCATGTAACCTCACAACCTTAATGTAGGGATTTCTGTAGTTCACTATCAAATGCTGTGTGTTCTCTCATTAATATGAAAGTGATCACACCAGATAACAGGCTTGTGTGGCTAATGAGAAAGTGAAATAATAAGTAATTAACTCTGACACCACTGACATTATAAAGGTTGTAATCTGTTGGACTCACTCAATCCTAAAATAAACCTGTAAAGAATACTGCAGCCACTTTCTAGAACCTCTGATGTTATTTGGATTTTTATTAGGCTTGATGATTTGTTGTTGGCTCATATGAAAGTAGACTGGGAGCAGATGGGTGTCCTAGAGCACAACGTGTCTGCCTAGTGACGGCAGGCCATCTCACATGTGATAGGGGGAGTGGGGTTGTCGGGGGGTTGAGTGTTACACTGTGTGCGAAACACCAAGTGACCTATCAGCTGCAATTTTTAGAAACAAGGTGCAGGCACTAGCTGTCCCCTGACAGATTTTCTTTCCTGCTCCCAGTGCCCTCACAGTGCTCCTCCCTCTCTCTCTTTCTCTCTTGTCATCATGGTGTCTCTTTCTCTATCTCTCTCGCTCTGCTATTCTTCTGTGACGTCTGTGCTGAAAGTCACGTTGATTGTTGTTGATTGCAATGGAAGAGGAGGATGATCTGCTCCAGCGTTGTGTGCCACACTCACTTTATGTGGTAAACTATCCACCCAGTCTGCATACCTGGTTTATAGTCACTTCCTCAACATGTCAGCTGGAGTCCAGGGGGACAGGAGGAAAGAACATATGGCAAATATGTAAATATAAACCGAAACTTTCTGGGGCATAATATCACTAAAAAACTTGAAAATTATACAGAAAGTATCTGTGTCATCAGTGTCAGAAGTCACGGGACTAATAAAATGATATTCTGAAATAGTTGGAGCTTCCATTAGGCTTTTTTCTCATGATACCTGATTTGTTTATCTTATTCAGGGTGTAACATCCGTCATAGGCTCTTGAGCTGGATAGTGATCAGGGTTGATTGCCCTAAAGCGGATGTAGATGTCCCGACTCAATGATCACCCTCACTCTGAACCCTCAGGGAGGTGTGCTAGTTCCTGTCGGGGTCATTAACCTTCTCTGCTATAAGCTCCTTTGTTTTCATACAGAAAAGCAACTGCTGATCCAGTTGTTTTTGAAAAGCCTTTTGGCTGCGAGTGTGTGTACGAGTAGCTGCCTACGTGTTCCACGTGGTGTTTGTGTGAAATTGCGCATGCATGTGTGTGTGTTGTGTCTGTTCGACAGCAGCCAGTGTTTCTACAGTGCAGGGGCACAGACAGACAAGTTGTCATAGGCTGTGAATTCTAGGTTTACTTAGTATTATTTAGGGTCTGCTACGATAAGGAATTAAAGCAGGAAGGTGCAGGATTGATTTATGCATCCTTATCTACTCTATGTTCTGCATTTTTATATTACTGTCCATAAAAATAAAAAAATACAATGTGAACATTTGAATGCATCATAATTCATGTTTCTATCTCCCACTTAAGAGGGGAAAGCTCTAACTCAGCAGGTTTAAGTGAGTCAGCAGCTACTGCAGGTCACTGAATGTGATATCTCACTCATACCTTCTATCCTGACCTGTTAACCCTACATAAATATTGACAGTTGTCTGTGTTAAGAACGAGTCATATGGCCTCCAGAGAGTTTGTAAATGCAGCAACAGAGTCAGAGAACACATTTCGTCACACCCATGTACATTCATGTATTTACACTATCTTTGTGCTGCTGAACATAGTGGCTGCATGTGTCCAGTGAGCTGAAGGCAGGATGCAGAAAGTATTCACATGTGAACTTAATGTGAGTCAGCATGATGCCAGATGGGGTTTGAGGTCAAATGACTGCTTCTCCGGAGGTGCCGCCATTCTGAAAAAAGACCAGACTGCATGTGTTTGCGGTCAGGTAAACATAGTGAGTTGCTGAAGTTGTTGTTTCAGATTACGTCGATGATTTTGTCAGAAGTTAACTTTATTTGATTTAAGTTTGTTGTTCATGATAATATTTAATTTTTGCATTATTTGTATACATGATGGGCTGGAAATTAGAAGTTTCATATGCATATTATACCAAATCTAATACTTTCTATACTTGTAATGTGTTGTTTTTGATCAGTCATTACTTATAATGTGGAAACACTTAACAACATGTTGATTGATGACAAATCACATGAATCACTCTCATTCACATTCTTCCACACTCGTGTTGCGATGAACAAACTAAGTGAATAACTGGAATGAAATGCGAGATGTTCGCTACTCGTCCTGTCAATGAATGGCACCAATCAATCAATCAAATTTGATCTGTATAGCCCATAGTCACAAATGACACTTTGTCTCATAGGGCTTAACTAGATGTGACATCCTCTGTCCTTAACGCTCAACAACAGGAAGGAGAAACTACAGAAAGAACCATATTAACAGCGGGGGAAAAGGAAGAAACCTCAGAGAGAGCCACATGTGAGGGATCCCTCTCCCAGGATGACAGAAGTGCAGCGTTTAACTGAGAACATCAGCAAAATACAACATTGATTAGAAGAAACAGTTTTTAGACTTGTGGAAAGGTGTTTATAGTATTTATACATAAGAAAATGTCTGATAGAGATGAAGGGAGCAGGAACCCTAACCCTGACAAATGAAATGGAGGAGTTATTGCCAGTAAAGGTAGAATATGTGAGCAGGCATATTGTATATCAAGCAGTTTTGTTGTAATCACAGTCCATGATGCACCACCACCACAAACATGATCCACCACCACCACCGAGAAAAGGAAAGAGAAGCTCCATTTGTCCCCGAAACAATTTTTGGCACCCTGAGCTCGGCAGCAGGGACCTGACAGATGCCTCTTCTTTGGCAGGTGCTGCTGGTGAGCAGCAGTCGACACCCAGACCAGTGGATTGTGCCGGGAGGAGGAATGGAGCCCGAGGAGGAGCCCTGTGGCGCAGCCGTCAGGGAGGTGTATGAAGAGGTGCGCTCACACACAAACAGCAAGTTAAAACCTTACCCATGTCAGGAAATCATATTTCAGAGACTTGGAATTAACTTGAGAGTGATAATTTATCAAAGCTTTATTTATTCATTTCTAAACCTCTTTCAGGATAATACAGATAATAGCAGGATCCTTGTGTTGTTGTGCTCATTCTGTTTTTGGGATTGCACTGAGGTTTGGTGCTGAAGCAGTGGTGGATCAAGGGCCATAAAGGGGCCACAATTTACTTAGAGGGGCCAATTATATGTCCAGCCTCCATACACAATTCCCAATTCAGTGAGGTGCACATTTAGGTAATTCCTTGTTTACTGTTGGCTCTATAGCTTTGAGCAAAGACACACATCATTTACTATATTTTGAAAAATGCTCCTTATTGAGGCACATTGCATTCTTAAAAAAACCTTTGAGGTTCACATAACACAAGCAAAAACTTCACGGTCAAGAACATGCCATGTGTCATCTTACTTAATGATTCAGTAATTTTAAAAAAAGTATTTATTGTCTTCGTTTTCATTAGCTAGAGGCCCTGAAAGTCATCAGCAGAAATTCTTGTCAGTTGTTGTCACTGTTCAGTGTGAGACGCTTCCTGAGCTGGATCCAGATGATGGATAGAAAATTTGCCGGCGATGCATAAATGACCACTTAGTAGTTCTGTGGTTTTGTGAAGGCGTTGCTGGTTGTTGGCCAGTACGTGTCCACAGTGGAGTGAGCTGTGGGCTTCTGCCTCATGTGCTGACAGCTTTGAAGTATGGCAGTGACATTTGGGAAGGGTTTCCAGTTACCCAGCGTCCTGTGCTTCCCAGACCAGACATGTATCTGAATATAGATGAGCTGCAAACCAACCTTGGGTGGCGAGCTAACAAGTCGAAAACGTAATGTGTTAATACGCCACTGTCAAGTTCGGCACATCAGCCAACATCACGTCCATGTGAGAGTTTTAATTTGTGCACGTGTGAGATTTTTGCAATCCTATTAATGCAATCTAAGATCCAGATTGACAAAAGTGCTGGAAAATATCACCAGAAGTAGAACAGTGTCATGTTGGACATCACAGTACGGAACTGGTGAAACAACAATGTCGTCATTGACTTGTAAATGTATTGAATCACTCTAGATACATTTTCTACATGTGTGTACAGGCCGGTGTGAAGGGGAAGCTTGGCAGACTACTTGGGATATTTGAGGTGAGCTTGTTAAACTGTCATGGAAAACTAATAAATTCTCATGTGGTGGTCATATAAAAATATTTAACACTGTTTTAAATACTGTGTCGACTGTTAACTCCACTGCTATGCATAGTATGCCTTTATAAATATGTCAAGTTCACGATGTTTCTGTGAAAGAAGCGGCGCAGTAAATCACAGTTTTTTGTATAAAAGCTTTGCATGTTTTGCTTTGACACTGATCTGAAGTCCTGTGTTCATCTAAACCATTGCAGCACAATCAGGACAGAAAGCACAGGACGTACGTCTACACCCTCATTGTGACGGAGACGCTGGAGGCCTGGGAGGACTCTGTCAACATTGGTATGTTTGTCTCATTGTGTCATATTGCAATAATAAAAAAAGATTACTCATTTACAGGAAATAAGCAGAAGACTATACAATATTTCATGGATCTTTTACACAGACCTAAAACACAGCTTGCAGACACTTCCTCCATTGGCCCGTTCAAATTGACTTAATTGGACTGAGTTAATAAAATTTGATCTCTGGGACAAGATTATCCTTATTTATGTTTTCAAGAAGTTTTTTGTTTTTGTGTCCTCTAAGTCACATAAGAAGAGTTCCACTTAATTGTTTTATTCTATTTAGCAAGTAACTGAGGCTCTTAAATCTACCACACAGAGGGAAATTAAAGATGCTCTGAGGAGATTACTTACATTCACTTAGTGTGTCTCACTAAAACACAAAGTACATGTCATGTAGGTCCAACAAATATGTTGATATTAAAATGTATGTTTCATACCATGCAATCTTCCTCTTCCTTGCCCTTGTTGGTGAAATGCTAAGCTCAGGTCATAATACTTCTCTACACAATCACCAAGCTGCATATTCACTGATCACCAGGAAATAACAACAAAGGCTGTGAAGCAGTATTCTAGATTATGCCCAGATTGAAGTGACTAACTGAATCTGAAGAAAGAAGAACTATTCAGAAAGTCTGTCTGGGCCTGCGGTCATCAGTTTGTAAGCTGAGAAACTGGGCCACATGCTTATCGATGAAGTCAAACCACCTGACGTGGTGTTTGCACAGACATGGTTTCAGACTTTGGCAACAGTTTGTCTTCCTTTAGTTTAGTGGGTATTCAATTAACTGCCACTGCTCATGTGCCGCACATTTTGTATATTTTCTACCAAACAACAGGAGACAAGGATTAATGTATGTGTATATATGTTTGTGTGTGTATACATATATTTACTACTCATGATTAGTTATAGTGGAGAATATCAAAATCAACAGTTGATAAGTCTGTGACTTGCAATTTGTCATTTCATTTTAAACAAACATTGTTTGGTTTCAGTTTCTCATTTATGAAGCTTTGCTGCTTTTCTTGGTTTTATGTGACAATAACTGAATATTAAACAATATTAACAGTTTTTTTTTATTTTACAGATAAAAACATTAATCGGCTCATTGAGGAAATCCTCAGCAGATAAACAATAATGTAAATAATAATAAGTTGCAAAACAAAGAAAAAGATACTGCCCAAAAATAGTAACCACTATTTGTTTAGAATGTGTTTGGCCTTTTTAAATGTACGTTTCCTTAGGGACTCAGAACATAAACTATTTCTTACTGGTCCAGGAAGAAGCAGTCGTGATCATTCACTCCCTTCACCTACAGAAATAGAGTTCAGCCTTTTCACATGGGGGAGGAGTGTTTGCTGTGCCCAGTTGTTTTCCAGTTATCACCGCTCACCACAGCCCCCTCCCTACTTGTCCTCTTCTGCCCTGCGCGAGGGCTGAGACTGAGCGGAAAGGGTTCGGCACTGCCGGTCTTATTCAACACCCCCTCCTGTTGAGAGGCCATGGTGTAGTTCAGGGTGTCAACATAAAGTGTGTGAATCCTCCTCCTCTCACACCACCGCCTGATTATCACAGGCCACAGCTAATTATGCTGTTTGGATTTGAACAGATCATGAATAATGAACTCACAGCTGATGATTAACTGGAAAGATTTTTATTTTATTTTTAGAAACGTTTGTTAAGTACACCTTGAATGTGCTGCACTTAATGTTTGACTGCATGGTATAATATTGTATAATTGTATTGTATAATATTGCAGTGTAGTAAGTTCTGACTTCTACAGTGAGCAGACATAAGCTTCACTTAAGTCAGGATATTTTCCATGTATTCAAAGCCAGTGAGTGGGTGTGTTGATGATATGTATGCAATGGAGGCAAACTAAAAAAAATCCAAACTTATACAAATATCTCAGGATGAGAAAGAGGAGATTACATGCAGAAGATACCGACAAAGATTTCAACATTCAAGAGTTTTCAGTGAAAAACATGTGATTTATGCAGCAGAAATAAATCTTGATTTCCTGCCACCAGCACAACTCCCTTGTCTGAATTGTCTGGATATTGTTCTTTTGTTCTGATCCGGACATTCTCCTGCTTTTATGGCAAAGTTTGAAAAATGTCCAGACTTCACTCACCTTTCATTCGAGTGCACAGTTGAGCAGTCCAAGCTTTGTTTTGTCATTGAGTGAAACAACCAACTTCTGCCTGTCATTCAGTTTCATCCACATACTGACAACATGTCATTTCTTTCATGTTCTTGCAGGACGAAAGAGGAAGTGGTTCAAGGTGGACGAAGCCATCAGGGTCCTGCAGAGCCACAAGCCTGTCCACGCAGAGTACCTACGCACACTCCCAAACACCTGTAATCCACCCTGCGGTCACGCGAGCAATCCGACTAACGGCAACAGCCCGAGCTCCCATGTGACGGACAACAGCACCCCTCACTACGTTGTTTGCGCCACACAGGGCTCAGATCTGGTCAACAGATAGAACCATCACCAGCAGCGACCCCAGGATGCACAGTTGATCTCTTCCGCATTCATGACTTCTTGAAGTGGGCTTGAAGAGTGCCAAAGTGTATTTAAGATTTTATATTTTTACCAACCATCGGCAGGCAATAGAGAAAATGTGTTCCTGGATGGGTTCCCTCAGTGTGCTGCCTCTGCACCGTAAAGATCCTTTTTTTAGTCTGACATCTTGAATATTTAATTGGCCGTGCACACAGTGTTGGTTGGTTATCTGGAAAGCCAGTACTGGGGAAGTTGGCTCTTCACAGGAAGTCCCACAGTGACGTGATGTCATTCTGCGAGACATTTTGAAGAGGAGTATCTACGCGTTTGTGAATATTTTTATTACAGATTTTTTTTTGTGAACTGTTTAGACACATCGGAAGCAAAACTACTGTCACCGCACAACTGTCACTTTATGGTATCGTCTCTAAGCACAACTAACACTGTAATGCTGCAAACCAGTCACCACACTGAAATAGTCCTGCCTTAAACCTCCTTTCATTTGTACATATCTCAACTTTTGCAAGCATGACTATTAAATTAAAGGTAAATACAGTAGATTGGCACAGTTAAGATGAATACCAGCTTCTGCATAGTACTGACCAACCTGCAGTCAAATAATTACAACTTGTAAATGTTGCAAAGAAAGGCAGTATTTAACACTCTAGTTGTGCAGATATACATAGACATATGTGCATTTGATAAATGTCTGAGAAAAAAATATGGTGGCCTCAGTTTTACAGGAGCGTTGATGTGTTGTGCTCCAGCCTGATTATTTTATGTGCCTTCACAAACAGCACTGAAGTGTGTTGGATTATAAACACTGTGCATCCTACAGCGCTGACTGGAAGCAGTGCCGACTGCCTCACACACCCCGCTGACCCTTTTTATTTCTCAGCATTGGTAATGAAACTGAAACTTTGGGTTTGTCATTATTATTGGAAGCACAGTATTAAAGGATCAGTGTGTAGAATTAAGTGACATCTCACCTCACCCTCCCGTTCCACTCATGAAGAAGAACCTTCAGTTGTCATAAAAACTCAAAGGATGTTTGGTTTGTCCAGTTTGGGCTACTGTATAAAACATGGCGACCTCCGTAAAGAGGAACCACTTCCGATGTGAATATATAGCATTTAAATATAAAGGGCCCATTCTAGGGTGAAGAAAACAATTTGTACAATTTAGATTAAACACATTATTTTATATTCAATTTCTGACAATAGATCCCTTTCACCCAAATCTTACACACTGGACCTTTAAGTACACACTGAGCGAAGTGATTTCTTTTGTAGGGAAATATTTACGAAAACTAGACAGAGAGTCAGTTAGAAATAGAAAGAGAGAGAGAGAGAGAAAATAATGTTTATTGACGATCAGTGGTTTTTGTACTGAAAGATCATTCAATTAACATTTTTTTTTAAGTGTGAACGAGTCTGTGGTATTCTGCTGTGTTGTATAGAACTCATTTCAAATAAAAGCTCTTCATTGCCACAGTGTTTGAATGAGTGCAGCACACGCACTGGTTCTTATTATAGTCCTGAACACAGGCAGCAGACTGTGTCCACCATCCTCTCCATGACCCGCCCATCCGCCGCCGCTGCCTGAGCTAGGTCAGGTGTTCGTGCTGCAGCTACGTAAGCTCCGTGTTTGGGGAACTGCTTGGATCTAGTGTGCGGGACAGACCCGGTCGAGGCCATGCTCAGACGGATACTTCAGATGGTAAGAGACCGGGGCGACGGACTCAACAGTGTCGCTGCGGTTTTTTTTTGCTAAACCCCGAGGTTTTCCTCAGAGACACGGGGCCTGTCCTTCTCTGTTTTCATGACGGGGACGCGCGTTTTGAAGCGCCGTGCGTTGCTGGGTGGGCGGGGGTTAACATTTTCTAGCCAAAGGGAGTCGCCCGATTGGAACAGCCCCACCACCCCGTCTGATTGCAGTCAGCATATCAAGCGCTCCTTACGTGGGATCGACACAGCTAGCAACCAAATGCTAACACGGCTCGTTTGATTGATGCGACCCTTGGCAGAGATGTAGCGAGCACACAACGCACCAGCAGGCCCGTTAGCTAACACGTTTAGCCTCGGGGTTAGCTGGATGAAGAGTAGCTCTGCTAGATAAACACACGGGGCACCGAGTCGGCTTATTTTCCGTTTGCTAGCTGTGTTGTAGCGGCAGGTTAATTCATCGTCTAGTCGTCACATGCTAACATTGACGTTAGCATCAGACTGTTGTGAAGTCCTGTGTCAGCAGCTTCGCGTTAAAAGACGAAACACCAGTTTGAGTCAATACGACGTATACTGACATTAATAGTTACACGGTTGTTTGGATAAAACACCAATTTGTCACTAAGGCTACAAGTGGGAGTGAGAGAGGTTAGCCACCTAGCTAGCTTCTCCTCAGGACTACATTCACCATCATGCATTGCCAGCAGCAGTACTGTGTACACTGGCCTGGTGACCAGGAAAATCCACATTTCAACACTTTCAGTTTCGATGAGGCATCACGAGACTGTGACTGTTCTCTTAGAGGGATTAGAACAGTTTAATGCTTAGGAAGAAAAATCAAATTAGAAACATTTCATTTCGTTTGATTCATTCCTCACAGCACGTTAACAACACGTTATCATGGGCAGAGGAGCTTGTAGGAAACTTGATTTAAACAGGACACGTGTGTGATCATCTGTCCTTCATATACTAAATCTGTTGAGCCACTGACCTGGGATCATTTTATGGTCACACTGCTCATGCTGCAGACCACACTGCCAAGATAATCATTACACAGGGTTTATGACTCTGTCACCTTTGAACAACAGTTACTTGTTATTGATGGAAATTTCAGAATATTCTTTAATGTAGGATTTCTTCTATAGTGCGTAGACTCAAACCATGCTGTCTACCTATTTCATAAACCTCTTGTGTTTATCATTTTCTGCTCATAAAGAAGAGATTAAAACAACAACCCTCATTCAGGACCTAAAATCTGTCTTTAAACCATCATTGATATTATTTGTTATATAATTGCTGGCCGTATTGCCCAGCCCTAATTTTCATTTAATTTAATATTATTATTAGAATGAATATTATTAGTCCAGGGCGGTTTCATGTAATTTATGTAGCATATTTGAATAAGGTCAACTTTGTTCCATGATGTAAATGTTCCACCTCCCTTTAAAATGGTGTTTATCCACCTCAACCCTCCTGTAGACTCTGACATGATTGGTTCAAGGGCCTAAAAGTCCCCTCTCCCAATACACAGGAACACACGTATATACACACACACACACACACACACACATATTTTGACCTAGTTCATTCATGCAGACAAACACCAGCCCAAACAAACCCTTTTTGTGAATGGGTCAGCAACTTCACATCCACCCCATGTGTTTGCACTTCAGGACAGTGGATTTAGCTGATTCCTGGTGAACACTTCCCGACCTACTCCTGGGTTGTATAGAGATTATTCTTTTCTTGTTCCTTCCCTGTTTCCTTGCCTGGGTGTGCTCTTCAGCAGAACTTGGCCCACTGCCTGTTACATGACCAACAGTATTTGGAGGGCTGCAGTAAACATAAGTCAAAGACCAACCAGGGAATTGCAGCTTATTAATTTTAAAAAGTAATTTATTGTTTAATCACAAAGTTCAACTGGAAAAGAGAACACATTAGGTTAAATACACAGTTATCTAGAATGTCTAACAGCTTGTTAGTCATTGTGCTTGTTCAAACGATATATGAACTTTCTAAATATGTACACAAAAAGTGAATTGAAAGGCAACAGGGGGGAGGAGTCAGTTCAAGGACAGAAGGTCTGCAGCCGTGAATATTAGTTGTAAACATGGAACAAATACTTGGGAAAGCAGTAAAACCTGCCTGAGCAGACTGTGTTTAAATGCAGTGGATCTGTGAACACACACATGTAAGACACTGTGCACACTTTTGCCTGGGTGCTTCACCAGCTGCAGTTTGGAAAAAACTGCATGTGGAATCTGCCTCACACATTACTTTTTCCAAATGTATATTTGTACATTTGTGAATTTATCATCATCACTAATCGTTTTTACTTCTCTTCCTCTTCCTGTGTTGGGCAATTGTAACAATGCAAATTCCCAACATGAATACATTTGTTTTTACTGATTCTAATTACCCAGTTATAATACAGGTAAAGAGCACAGACTACAAATTATTGAATATTGTTATATAGTTTGTGTCTATTTATTTGTTTTGATTCGTTTATTATTTTTATTTTATAACACAAAAAATTAATGCATAAATCAAATATTAAAAATGTGTGTGAGGTTTGGTAGAAACCTGCAATAGCTTGTATGTAAACCACACCTAAATATAACAAAAATACAAAACATACAAAATCTTTGGTAGAGTTTATATATTAGTATAAAAGAGACAATTACACATATAATGCATGTTATATACATATACCAGAAATTTGAGAAAAATCTTCCCATTATTTAACTACTTCTCAAGCAATCAGGTCATTATTCCGTATTATATACTTATTTTTACTCATTCCACTTAAGTGGTCCAGTGTTAATACTGAGTGCATTCAGAGTAATCACGTCTTCTTTGTACTCTCCAGACTCCTGGGAAGGGAGGCTCCCAGAATGCAGAGTCAGAGCAACCGAGCACAGACCTTAACCACGATCAGACGTCTGAGGTAACACAGATGTTTTGATTTTGCATATTAATTACTGTCATGTTTTTTTACCCTGAGGTCAGAGGTGCTGAATTGAAGCTGACTGGTGAATTCTCACGATATGTTTCTGTATCCAGGGCTTCATCTGTCCTCAGTGCATGAAGTCTCACAACTCTGCAGAGGAGCTGTTCAAGCACTATGAGCTGTTCCATGATACCGGAGACCTCCCCGCTCACATGGCCCCCACTCGGTGAGACAGATATTAATGCTGCATAAATTGTGACATAGTGTCTGACATCTGTGTGCACATTACAGAATTTTACTTCACTATGTTTTTATTAGTGGACTTTTTTCTCCATTTAGGGAAGACCTTACAATGCTGCGGCAAGAAGTTCAGGACCTGCATGCTTCTCTCAAGGTATGGTTGAGTTTGGGAACTGTGGCTGCTACAGATGTGTGTAAATGGATGGGTTAATACAAAGACTCAGCTGCGGGTGTGTTTTCACCTTATTAGGAGGAAAGATGGTTCTCTGGAGAGCTCAAGAAGGAGTTAGACAAAGTCCAAGGACACCTGAAGCAAGTAATTCCACCAAGATATTTAACATGATACATAATGAAGCTTTCTGCCTAATAAGACATAATGGTGATGCCTGCTCTTACTGTACATGCTCCTCTCCTTCGTTTTTCACAGAATGATGGACAGGTGACCTCAGAGGATGCAGGTAAGTGGTTTTATATTTAAAATAACTCTTACAAAAATAAAACAGTGTCAGTTTCAAAACAAAATGTGTTTTTTCCCACAGTCCTTGAAAAGAAGCTGAATGAAGCAGAGACAGAAAAGTTCAACATCAAGCAAATGAAAGACCTGTTTGAGCAGAAGGCTGCACAGCTGGCCACAGAGATAGTAGGTCAGTGTTGGCCCAGACAACTGGAAGGCCTGTGTCTCTTATCGTTTAACAACTGAAGTACTATTTTCCCTCTGTTAAACTCAATCCACCCACTGTCCTTTATGCAGTCGAGCATAAATTGTTGGCACAGATCTTCTATTTGACTCCGTGTGAACGTTTTCCCCTATTCAATTTGGGAAAATTGTTAATCAAGTGTATATCTGTTGTTTTTTATTGAATAATATTAAATGGGATTGCTTTGGATTCTTGTGTACAACAGATTTAAAGTCGCGTTATGATGAGGAGAAGAGCTTAAAAGAGGCTGCGGACCAGAGGGTGGCCAAGTTGACAGAACATCTGCAGAAAGAGACGCAGGAGAACGAGAGACTCAAAACAGAACTGGTACAACACACACTTCAAGTCTCTGCTGCCATGTATTCTCTTCTTATTTGGCTTCACAGACGTACTTTGGAGTTTGAAAGAAATCAGTTTGGCTTTGAGCTGAGTGTGCTCGACACGACTCCTCATCGTTGCTATAGAAACGCAAAAAAATAACTTTATCAAAAGAGCAAAAGCGTACTTTAAACTAGAGAACCCAGTCAGGCACACTGTGTTATCTGATCTGAAATGTTCTTAACTATTCAGAGGGGTTTAAAAATACTCCCTGTTAAGTAAGTGTACGGCTAAAATTGAAAGCCCCTGCTGATTTTTCCATCTGTTGCTTGAATTTAATGGAATGTCTGAAGGCTCACATATACACCTGAGCACCTCAGCCATTTCTCAGGACATGGAGTTTTGATTTATCTTGACACCAAAACATCTTAAACTAGAGGTAAACGCATCGTTTTGAGCTCCTCTTTCTGCCACCCAATCTTCACCCTCTGCTCTGCCCCCTAGCTGCAGCGACCGGGAGTGGAGGACGTGGAGGTCCTGCAGAAGGAGCTAATACAGGTGCAGACGTTGATGGACCAAATGACGCGTGAGAGGGAGGACGAGTCTGAACGCCTCAAAAGCCACTACGAGGAACTGCAGGCTGATTACACAACCTCAGAGGTGAGGAGGGCACATGACACAACGTCATGAAGGTCAAATTTAGCTCAGCAGATTGAAGTTTATGTTTAACAAGCTAATAAATGTGCACAAATGATTCCCACAGTTTACATAATCATCTATAACATAGTTCTGAATTTAATAATTTGCTGGTATAGTTCTGATTGTACCTCTTCATTTTACCTGTCATTTACGACACTTTTTATAAAGAGCAGATCTTTAGATTCTTATTGAAAAACAGCTGTGGAATAACTTGTATATAAATAAGGTGGATGTACTGTAGTCATGTCATATCAGAGGACTTTGTTCCTTATTCTAATTAATTAACATCTGGTGAATAATTCAGGTTTAATTCCTGCACATCTCTGCAAATTATCTCAATGCACACATTCATGTTTTCTATTCAATAAGAAGCCAAATTGTAAAAAAATATTTGAATACCGTCTGGTTTTTGATCACAGAGCAGCTACAAGATGTAATTAACAAACAGTTTTGGTGCAGTCCTGATCAGTAACTGTTTAATTAAGTTTTAATTTCCATATTGTGAATTTATGCAGTCAGTGGTCATCAGATCAGACAGTGAAATGTCCAAAAGGCATCTAAAAATATGGGTAAACAATGAACATCACATTTAGCCTGATGCATTGTAGGCGGCTGCAGCTGTACACAGCACACAACACTATCTCTTATTTTATAGAAAACATTGTTCTCCTTTATTCTCTCAGTGTAGCAGCTCTGTGGTTCAGACTTGCCTCCTGCTGTTGTGTGGTGACTTACCTTTGGTCGTGTCTCTCTTTCCCTTTCCTTCTGCCTCTCACATAATCCACCCCTCTGCAACACTTAACTCTTTCCTCAAGATCCGTAAACTGGAGGTAAAATACGTCGTTTCGAGTTGGCCCCAAATTTACTTTCATCTTTTTGAGTTTTGCCAAAGTTTTTAGAGATTAAAACATTAAATTAACTCTTTTGTTGGGTTTTTGTATGACTCATGCCTGATTGTTACTAATTCATAGATATATTTTTTATATATTTTTTTACTTCTGTGTCAGTCCTTCACAGTAGTGCTTCAGTTCTATTATTGTACACGACAAAATCACTGCAAAAAAACGTATAATGGTCCTGTCTATTTAATCGCAGTTGACCATATCCCAACTAAAAGCAGAGCTGGAGAAGGGTCCGCAAGAAGCCGCCGTCTACACCCAAGAGATCCACCAGCTACAGAGCAATCTGAATAATTTGCAGCAGCAAAGCCAGGTAACACACACACACACACGCACGCACGCACGCACGCACGCACGCACGCACGCACGCACACTCACACACAGACTGCCCAAACCAAACAGCTACAGCTGATATGGTTATGTGACAGTGCTGCACGATAGTAGGATTTACTTTTACTAGCCTTGCCAAGTGCCCCTTGAACACAGCAACCCTCTCACTCTCAGTTACCGTTCTCTCTCAGCTCTGTGTTCCTCAGAATCTGGCCCGACCACAATGCCCCGGTGTCATCCTTCTTCTTTTGCAGCTTCCACATAAAAATGACAAAAATGTCACAGAGCTCTATATTTAAACTGAAAGGGGGCGTCTCTGCCATGCCAGCGATGTCAGTCGGGGTGAAATACAAATATAGGTAACTTTACTAGTGCAACTGTAACTGGTCTCCTGCAAGATTAGAGATTGGAGAAAACAGTGAAACACAGACAGTCAGGACTAAGAATAAACAGTCAAAGAACATATTAGTATATCATAGGTAACATGGCAGGAAGCTGTGACAATGACAGGGCTGTGAGAAAAACAGGGAGAACAAAAACAGGAGGGCAACGCACAAAGTTTCCTGGGAAGGTTGTTAAATTTGGCCAGCTGCTGCGTTGGCCTGTTAAGGTTTATTGGATGTCTGTGAAGTCCAGGTGCCCTGTCACACTCCTTAGTTAGCAGCACGCTCCTCTATTAACAACATTTTGTTCTTTATCACCTTGTTGCCAAGTTTAATGCCGTGCTGTGCAAATACCACCGTTTTCCAAGTCATTAACTTTCAAATAGAAATGCCACACCTCGCTCGACAGGCAACTGTTCTTTTCCATTGCTTATATCAGACATGTTGGTGTTTGTGCCTTGTTGCAACTCCGATCGCACCAACTGGTTTAATTTAGAATTAGTTTCAGTGTGGCTTAATTAATGACTCAAACAAATCTGATTGACTTTCACAAGAACCTGGTCCCCCAGAAAGTAACAAATATCAGAAAACTGTTTTGTCAAATTATACAGAATAAAACATTATTTAACTTCCTGTTTATTGTTTTGTTCTAGTTATTTGTTTCCTGGCTTTCAAACCCATTCACGGACATCTTTCATCCATACTTCCAACCAGTGTTAATGTGACTCATATTGTCCTGTCATCTCCCTCTCCAACAGAGCTTGTCTGAAAAACTAGCACGTAAGGAGAAGGAGCACCAGCAACTGGAGGAGAGTCTAGGAGCTGAGAAAGGTGCCAAGAAGGGAGTCCAGGACAGCCTGAGGGAAAGAGAGCAGGAGGTCCAAGAGCTCCAGGCTCGGGCCTCTGGGGCTGAGGCCTCTCTGCACAAGACCCAGACAGAGCTTAGAGAGAGAACTGAGGAGGTGGCAAAGCTGAAGAGTGAGATTGGTGAGCTGGAGGTGAAGCATGCAGAGCTGAAGGTTGAGAGGAAACAGCTTAATCAGCAAAGGGAGGAAAAAGAAAGTCAAGGTGCTCAGCAGCAGACCGAGATCAGTCAGGTGAGTTGTACTGACAAACAGATGACTGCATGTAGGACAACAAAACAAATTATAGGAAGGAATTTTCATGTTTGCTTAAATATTTCAGTTAACTTTACTCAGCCCAACATGATGTTCTGCACATTCACACACAACAGAATGTCAGTCGCCATTTACATCTCTACACAACGGCAACTCTTCAGTGTTTTCTTCACCACGTCAGAAACCACAGTATAGGTCAGCACTAATTGAGAAACCCAGTAGTTTTTCACCCATGCAAGAATAAAACAAAAGAACACATCGTGCTCATCCTAGTTTTGTAAAAAAAGTCAGTTTAGGATGGATCTGAAGAAAATGCATAATAGCCGAATTCTCCAAAAAAGATATCACTACTTCAGTAATGTTAAAAACTAATGTCAAAGAGGATTCCCATTGTCCATATTCCTCATCATAGTATTTAATGTATTTCTTACCATTTGTAACCTTTTCTTCTCCATCTTAATCTTCACCCCTCTCCCTGCACTCATCTTAGCTTCACGCCAAACTTCTGGAGGCAGAGCGACAGCTGGGCGAGGTTCAAGGTCGTCTGAAAGAACAGAGGCAACTGTCTGGAGAGAAACTAAAAGACCGCGAGCAGCAGTCAGCCGACCTGCAGCTCAAACTCTCCCGTGCAGAAGAACAGGTTGGTGTCAGATGAAACTTTAAATGATCGCTGTGGGGAAACTTCATTGATGCAGCAGAACAGTCAGAACATCTGTGCAATAAGGTGTCCGTCGTAAGATGTGATAGACGCTGTAAGATCTGCAAATATTAATAAAGCTGAAAGAAGAGTGATCAAAAACAAGTAAATCAACGACCTGTAGTAAAATGACCATGATATCAACAATAATTTCAGGTTTATGGTAGAAACACTGTGGTTTCCATTTTCAGTTGAAGGAGGGTGCCAGTAAGAACACAGACCTGCAGCACCAGCTAGAGAAAGCCAAGCAGCAGCACCAGGAGCTCCAGGCGCTGCAGCAAAACACAAACGGCAAACTCCGCGAAGCACAGGTCTGTTCACAAGCAAACCATTACATCTGAGGATTTGATAATAATAGAAGTGAGAGTGAAGTCAAGAAAAGCTCAGCACATAGAGTTTTAAAAAGAGAGGTCCTCTTTGGAATAACGTGTGTAGTCTTAGTCTATAGTCTTACTCAAAGTTATTCAGCTCCTGCTCTTGTGTGCCAGTGCTTTAGAATAAAGAAACTGTTAAAACTACATAGAACTTTTATGTTGCCTTTTCTTTATCCCGTAGAATGACCTGGAGCAGGTGCTGCGTCAGATTGGGGATAAGGACCAGAAGATCCAGAACCTGGAGGCTCTGCTGCAGAAGAGTAAAGACATCATGAGCCAACTAGAAGCTGAGAGAGAAGACTTATGTGCAAAGATCCAGGCTGGGGAGGGAGAGACAGCTGTCCTGAACCAACTGAAAGAGAAAAACCACGCTCTACAAGAACAGGTGGCTGAAACACAGATACTTCCTTAAAGTTTAATTTCACTTTTGGTGAAATGAAACAGGCCAACCCCCTCGTCTGTCATATTAATGATGAGGAATAATGCGTTATGTTTGAGCTCATAACTTTGTATGTGTGGATCTTAAGGTGATGCACTTGACAGACAAACTGAAAAACCAGTCGGAGAGCAACAAGCAAGCCCAGGATAACCTACACAAGCAGGTCCAGGAGCAGAAGACTCTGCTGCGTTCAGCCCAGGACCGAGCCCACACCCTGGAGACTTCAGTCACCGAGCTCACCACCCAGCTCACAGACAACAAGGAGAAAGTCTCCCAGCTGGACTCCCAGGTAGCTGCTACGGCATGTCTGTGTAATTCATGATAAATACAAGATAGTGGCTTCATTAAAAAATGTTTTATAACTATCTGGTTAGAAGCGATGATCCAAACACAGTATGTTCTTTTTGATTTACATATTTTGATGGTGAGACTGAGAGTGAGAGTTTTTGTTGGTTTGTTTTCTTGCAGCTGAAGGCAAAGACAGAAATGTTGCTGTCTGCTGAGGCGGCTAAAGCTGCACAGAAGGCCAACCTGGAAAACAACCTGGAGACTGCTCAGCATGCACTGCAGGATAAGCAGCAGGTGAGCTTCCTCTGCACTTTAACTGATGAGCAGTGTCCCATGTCCCATATTTCTCTTGCCCCTTCACTTCACTAAAGCCTTAACTTCTCTATGCTGTGTTTTCCTCTACCCTCCTGACTTATTTATTTATCACTAAGGAGCTGAATAAAGTTCAGAAGAAGGTGGAGGAGCAGATCCAGAGGCTCAAGGAGAGGCATGAGCAGTGCACGCAGCTGGAAACCAGTCTTAAAGAATTCAAAGAAAAACTGCTGGCCTCAGAGCAGAGTGTAGAGCAGCTGGAGGGGCTTAATAAGGTTTGTGTTGAGCATTAATGGAGTGATTAATATGGGAACTAAAGACCGCAGTGACTGTTCTTTCTAATGTCGTGAGTATGAATAAATTTGATGTTTTCCATTGACAGAAATTGGAGTCACAGGTCGAGGAGATGCAGGCTACACGTGATCAGGCGCAGCAAGAAGTTCAGAAGTTGCAGAAGGAAGCGTCAGAGGTTAAACAGAAAACTAAGGAGCTGCAGTGCTCACTGGAAAAAGAGAAAACAGGGTGAGCACTGGTTTTGATAAAATACAACTGATTAATCCTATCAAGGGATATTATATTTGGTTCATTTTATTATATTTTTAATTAATTGTCCTGCTTTTAAGGGCTACTACGCTACAAGAGGAGTTAAAGAAGAAGGCAGCAGCTTTGAGCGCCACCCAGCAGCAGCTGCAGGGTTGTGAGCAGGATAAAGCTGCTCTGAAGGTGAACCTGGACAAGGTGACACAGGAGGGAAAGACTCAGCATGCAGAGCTGGACAGAAAAGCTCAGAAACTGGCAGCAGAGCTACAAAAAGCCCAACAGGAGAAGGAGGCGCAAAGGAAGGAGCTTGGCTCTACTCAGGAGAACCTAGGAAAGGCTAAAAAGGCTCTGAAAGAGAGTCAGAGTCAACTGGACACGGAGAGGAAGAGCCATAAAGCAGCCATGGAGGAAAAGGTAGGTTCAGTAGCCTGAAGTCAGGGATAAATGCAGCTCAGAAACATTCAATAATTGTGAATGGCTTTCATAGTACTGCCATACAAGCCAGTAGCCAGTCAGACTTACCTTTAGCCTCAGTGTTCCCTCAAGTTTGGCCTCTATCATTGATTACAAGGCCAATACACAAGGTGTCCCTAACATCCGCTGGTGGCCAGTAACACCTGCTAATATCTACTGGTAGTTGGTAACCTAAATTGTGCAGAAGACCTTCAAACGTACAAGGGATATTCAACATCTTGTCCTGACAAGACAAACAAATAGAAACCTATTTACAATATCAGGACATTCACATTAATCTGTCTCAACCCTCAGGACAAGTCCAACGAGAAGGCCCGACAGGAGCTTCTTAAGAATAATGAGACCGTTACCAAGACAATGAAAGAATCTAAAGAACAGTTGGAGCAGATGAGAGAGGTAAGCTTCTAGAAAAAAAAGAAGACCGGGCATTTATGTTTTAAATGAAACACCTTAAGAACTATTCTTTTCTCTAAAAATGACCAGGCAGAGAAAAAGCTGAAAGGGCAGCTGAGCTCTGTAGAGAAGCAACAGTCAAAGACTCAGGAGACACTGAAGGAAAAGGAGAATGAGCTGGAGAAGCTGCGGGCACAGCTGAAGACAGCCCAGGGGTCCTCTGAGGAGGAGATGAAGAAACTGAAGAGACAAGCGACAGAGTTACAGGAAGTCAATGCCAAGAAAGTAAGTCATATTCTCTTTACAACTGTTACAACATTTACATAGATACATTTCCTTCAGGCATGTTGTAAAGGTTATGTATAATGATAATCTTCTTCTCTATATGTGTTTATGTTTATAAACGTGTGTCTTTGCCTCTTTATCTCCAGGCAGAGGAGGAGGGTAAGCTGAGGGCCCAGGTGTCGGCGCTCGGCCAGGAGCTGACCTCTGAGAAGAGCCAGACGGCCGAGCTGCAGAAGACCTTGGAACAGAGTCAGGAAGGTCTGACTAAGCTTCAGTCCGACTTCTATGGCAAAGAATCTGAGGTCTCTGCTCTACGTCAAGACCTCAAGGTACGTTAATTCAGCAAGAGAAGGAGAAGTTACAGACTGATGATGACTTGATCTAAGCAGGTTATATGTTGAATTGATAGACATCAACCTCTTAAACTCTTTTGAGGAGCTCTCACAAGGTCACTTCTCGTTTTAACGATTTCTTTTCTCACAAACACTAAGGCTGCGTCAGAGAGAGTTTTACCTCTGTATCATGAATAGTCCCCATCCATACTTACAGACCTGAAAACTTCTATCACGTGACGTTTCACACACACTGAGCATGTGTATTCCAGTGTAACATAATAATACTTAATAATAATTAATACTTAAACATAGTTGTGTGATGTAGCCTAAGTAAGTGGCTTTTGACCTCTCTGTAACTGAAGGCGGCAGAAGAGAAGTTGGGTTTCGCCCAGGAGGAGCTGGCTGCTAACCGAACCCATCAGACCAGTTTGGAGGCTCAGATCCAGGAGCTGAAGACGAGTCGCAGCTCGTTGGAGCAGGAGCTCACCAAACAGCAGCAGAAGGGCCACCAGCAGGAGCAAACACTAAAGGAGCTACAGAAGCAACTGGTCAGTCAAAACAGATTAACTCATTCACAATAGACTTTATGTGATAAGGTTTCTAAATTCTAAATCGTACCCACTCACCCAGAATCACACAAAGGAGGAGCTGGAGAAGGAGAAGAGCAAAGTGGAGGAGCTGAACAAAGCCAAAAGTTTCCTGGAAAAGAGTAACAGCAAGTTAACAGTGGAGTTAAAAACACTAACAGAGAAGAGTGAAAAGGTCAGTTCCACCATGTTTGTTTTTATTTCACGGAGAAGAGCGAATTCAATTCAAACTACACCTCAGAAGAATCCTTAATATTACAACTGTTAAAGCTCCTGTGGCCAACGAGCAGAGTTTTATCTCATTCTGACTTGACCTGCTTCCAATGCTTGGGTCTTACGTAAACAGCTTAACTCTGGGACACTGCAGGTCATCAGGGCCACATTCTTCAACACTCTTCTAACTGAGCATGCTTGAATTGACAATTTGAAATACAAGTCTGGTTTTTAAGTTTCTCACATCTTAAAACTCAGCTTTAAAAATAGCCTTAGAATTTATCTGATGCATTTGTCAGAGCTAGAATTTCCTCAAGCTCATATCAGCTCAAACCGTTTAAAATCTTCCATCTCATTTTCACATGTGAGGCACTTAACCAAACCAATTACCCACCAGTTATGCTTGTGGTTTCTTATCTGATAATAATCAGGATCTGGGTGAGCTGCGAGAAGCCAAACAACTGTTGATCCAGCAGAAACTGGAGTTGCAAGGTCAGGTGGAAGCGGCACAGGGAGCACTGGAGCAAGAGCAGAAAGAGCATCAGGCCACAAGGGACAGCAGGAGCCACAAGGAGGAGCAGCTCCTCACCAAAACCAAGACTGTCCAGGATCAGCTGGTAGACCATCCTCACCAAATCTACTTTGATTTAGCAGATTAAATACGATTTCCTTATGATTTCCTTTTGTGTGATATGATGTAAAGGCTGCAGAGAAGCGAGCCAGAGAGGAGCAGGTGAAGCTTGGAGAGGAGGCTGAAGCCAAGCTGGGCGTGCAGGTGACGGCGCTGAATGAAAACGTGGCCACGCTGAAGAGAGAGTGTCAGGGCAGCCAGAGGAGAGTCGGTGAACTGGAGAAGCAGACGGACGAGCTGAGAGGAGAGATCGCCGTGCTGGAGGCCACCGTCCAGAACAACCAAGATGAGAGGCGAGCTCTTTTGGAAAGGTGTGTTGATATTAGTTCCTTGGACTAAACTGTAACGTTGCAGGTATTTACTCTTTGTTTCAACATTTTTCTGTGTAAATGTTAAGCAGCAGCAGGAAGCTTCTGTCTGTGTTGGCTACTTGAGAAAGCTCCTCATTCTCCTCATCACATTGTTGGCTCTCGATGACGTCATTACGTTTCTTTTCCTGTGGTGCAAAAAGTGGCGATAACATGCGGTGGTGTTAGAGGGTGGCAGAACAGAAGCAGAAAATCTCTTCGGGGAAATCTCAAAAACTAAATCGTATGGAGTGTTAGGAAATAATTTGTACATATTTCTAAGTATGTTTAGTTAAATTTTTCCTAACAACACAAGTTCGGCACTTTTACTATTTAGTATGTTTGATCAACCTTTTCGTTCTGATGTGTTTCAGATGTGAATCTTCTATTGATGAGTTTCCTCACGTCATTTAAATTTGATGTTCAGCAAATGTCCCAGTGCTTCATGCTTAAGTGAATGGGAGTAATGTAATGTAATGTAAATTGAGGCAAAAACACCTGTTAACAAACCGCTGTGGTGAATAAACAATCAAGCAGTTGAGATTGTTAGTCCCCTAAGCTCCACGTGTTCGTAGTACTAATTAACAAACCAGCCAAGTAGTGGTGGTAGGAAATTCTCTTGAGCTACTAATTAACATGAGCGTGCACAAACACACACACAAACACATCACCAACTGCGGCTGTGTTCCAGGTGTGTCAAGGGAGAGGGAGAGATAGAGAAACTGCAGGCCAAGGTGGTGGATCTGAGGAGGAAGCTGGACGACACAACGGCAGCCATGCAGGAGCTGGGCAGAGAGAACCAGTCACTGCAGGTCAGTCGCAAAACCACAGATGTTGAAAAAAGATTGTCTGCATGTTTATGTGATGTACAACAGTCAGCAGTTTGTCACAGAGTAAAGTCTTTTGCATATTCTCAGATTAAGCAGTCACAGTCTCTGACCAGGAAGTGGGCCGAGGATCATGAGGTGCAGAACTGCATGGCCTGTGGGAAAGGCTTCAGTGTCACTGTCCGGAAGGTAAGAATAAAGTTTTCTTCAAGATGTTTTTGTTTTTACATCAAAAGGACATAATATCTGTTTCCTCTTCAATTTTTTGCACATTATTGATCGTCTTTCTTGTATCTCTCCTCCTCCTCTGTGAACATCCAGCACCACTGCAGACATTGTGGGAATATTTTCTGCGCTGAGTGCTCAGCGAAGAACGCCCTGACGCCGTCCTCTAAAAAACCAGTACGGGTGTGTGAGACATGTTTTGAGGAGCTCCAAGGCTGATTCCCCTCTCATTGGTTTTACCTAACCCTAACACCCCCACCCCTACCCTCCCCTACGCTCCGTCCCTCCTTGTACCCACTCCAGCGGGCAGAAGGCGGCCTGTCTTTGTCGTATTTAATGTGCGCTATAAAAGGACAGACTCCCACCTGCATGCGACTTGTGGCTCTGGTGCGGAGGGAAGTAACCGAAGGGTGACCAGATGGCGTGGGATTTGGGTCGGGATTGTCTGTATCTGTTTTTGTGCCTTTGCTACTCCTGTGGACTGCCAGAGAGCGGAGACAGTGAGAACTAAACGCCATCCGTCTCTTTACGTTCGCGCTCACATCTCCATCTTTGTTTGGCTTCATAAGCGAACTGCAAGGTGGCTGCTCTTGTACATTGTGATACGTTAGAAGGCGAGAGGTCAGCGTGACACTGAGAGGGTGAATGGGGAAGTAAATATGGTGATGTTGAAAATCACTGCTGCCCTACAAAGATATATGCAGGTAACTATTTTGGCCAAAAAAGAAAATATCTGTAAATGTAATTAAGATTACAACTGTAAAGTTTTTCTGTGTACAACCCAATATTTACATCAAATTGATCACTAAAAACCCAAGTAATATGATGATGAAAATATTTTTGTAAAACTTTTCAGTTAAGTTGACAGACTGTATTTTACAACAGAGTATTCGGGTCATATTGAAGAAAAACAAATCCGGAGAGTTTGAGTTGATTGTTGTAATTGTACTAAAATGTATAAAAAAGAAATTAGGAAAGAAGCAGCAAGGAAAACCTTTGCTCTAGATCTGCTCCTGGATCCAAAGTCTGGAACCGATCTTTAGATATCCTGCAGGTGTGACCAACATTGCTTATTTTAACACAGGCGACGGGTCGATCTCCTGATATTCCCCATGTAAAATGATTATTCTTAAAACCTCAGATTTCTGTTGCCTTTACGTGCCACGATTCTCTGTTGTAATAGATCATTTGTGAAGCACAGATTTCAACATTTCCTTTGGCAGTAAAAACAAAGTTAAACAGCTGCAGTTTGAATTTGATGTTTGTGGACAGGATTTCATGTCCATCCATTATGTTGTGTACACGCACATAAGTAAATGTTAACACTGTACAGTATTCCACAGTGAAAAGGGAGGAAATGATTGAGCGTTTTGTTTTGATTATGAGTCTTGAACAGTAAAATCAGTTTTTTTTATAACCTTTTAAAGAGAACACATCATCGTCAGTTTATGCACCAGCGAATTTCTGTAAATAACTTGATGTCAAATCAGTTCCTGCATGTTTCCTTTGTGTGGCAGCGCGTTAATGAACCAGTGGGAATTAATTAATGTATTTCATGACCAAAGAATGTCTGCGGCAGGAAAACAGGCACGACAAAAAGCCCCGAGTTTTGTTGTTCACATTTCAGTATTTTTCTTAGCGTCTCCATTGGAAGCTTTTGAGTTTTAATCACAGGGTCTGACATTTTTATCTTGAACAGAAGGTGTGTGAGGATCTGAGAGATTTTGTTTTCAATGTACAGTTGTGTTGTTTTCTACAGATTGCGGTGCTTTCTGCAGATTCAGTCATTGAACGTGTCTGCATGTTGAATTTTTTTTAATGTTTTTTTTTTTTTCCTGCTGCTGCTTGTTTCATCCACACAACAGCCCTGACTACTGCTCGAGGGACGTGTGTGTATGTGTGTGTGAGAGAGAGAGAGGGCTGTAGCTGTGTGTGGCATCACTGTAACAGAGTATGTGTGTGTTAGTTTTAGGCCTGCTGTGCTCGTCTGCTCAGATGCACCGTGTGAATGTCGGCCATTCAGAACCTTGTACCGTCGCGGGGACGTCTGTGCTGCATTCAAGTGCAGTGGTCACTGTCTGCTCTCTGTCCAACATGCCTGCAGCTGAGAACACTGTAAAAGCTCCTTCCTGCTTTGTTTAATTTATATTTGTTGACAGATGTCGTTGAGATCTTTTTGTGCAATTGTCCACAGACTGGACGACAACGCTGAGAGCCCGGCGACATCGCAGGTTGTTCTGGTTCTATTTTGCAACATGCCTCTTGTTTCAGACTCAGGTTTAACCAAATTAGATCTTTACGCTTTTCCATCTCAGTTGCAAACTCTCAGAAACACCTGCCTCTTTCTTTGCGTCGCATCACTTTTGTTTCGTCTACCTCAGATTGGCACAGGAACAGCACTATTTCTAAACCTGAGATGTCACAGATGTTGTTTAATCGCCGGCGTTTGAAGAATTTGATCGACCAACTTGTTCAGTCCTGAAAACCTGTAGAGATAATTTGCACCTTACTCTGCTCTGGGCTCGTCCGTACGAGGACCCAGCCACAAACGTTAGGACCACCAACTCAATTCAGGCTTCAGCGTTTCTAACCCCCGATGTACTTTAACCTGTCCATTAATACAAAGTCTGTCATACTTATCTTTGTAAATGTTTGTAATGAAAGAGAAAAAGGAAATATATAACACACACATGGATGTAGAAACATGAAACTGTGGCTTCATCAGTGTCTTACTCATTTTCTACCAAACGGCATCACCCACACACACACACACACACACACACACACACACACACACACACACACTAAATAGTGGCCTGCTTCGTGTTGCTGTCAGTTATCGTGCATGATGACTTAACTGGCCTGTGGCTCACACTTTATGTTGTCTCCATGTTTAGAGTCATATCTGGTGGTTGTGAGGTTTTGCCTTAGGCCAACGACTCGCCGCACGTCGCCGCTCGCTGCTGGCGGCGACGTGTGGCGAGCATTACCAGAGTCAGGGTGACTTGGCTTCACCTGAGGGGACGAGAGGAATCATGTCATTTATGTTCACATGCACCAGTTGATTTTGTAACATGTCATGACATTAATAAAACCTACAGTATGTTTCTACTTTTGTGTTATTTTGTGTATACATACCAACAACAGTACAGGCATTTACAGTGTGTACATGTTGCTGAATATAGCAAAACCTACTTTATCAATATTATGGACATTTGTATGGATCAGGTCTTCATTGTGTTTCACTTTATATGCATTGTCTTATTTCTGGGCCTCTGATCCAGGATGAAAGTCCATGAACTAAATTTAGAGGAAGATTGTCCTAAATCTAGAACAATTTATATTACACAATTGTATAGTAATTCTCAGTCCCCTTTTCTATATTTTTAGTATTTATAGGACCCAAGGTTGAGTTAGGAAGCCAGATTGATTTCTTATGCAGAGCAAGAGAAGACAATGGTTTGGCCTGATGGGCCCAGGTTTAGATATGTTTGTCCAATCCAGCAGCTCCATATGAAAACAAGATTATAATGCTCCTTTTGGAAGGACAGCTCAGATTTGGTGCAGCCCACACAGTTGGGAACTTATTAGGCTCAATCACCTTGGATCCCCCTCATGCATCTGGTATTGAGAATAAACATTTCTATGTAAAACATGTTTCATGAAAAAAATGGATTCCTCCCCGTGCATGACGTTTAAATTGAGGATGAAAGTTGCTGATTTGGATTATTTCCCCTCCAGGTCCCTTTAGTAGCTGTTGTGGAGCTTTCAGTCGCATCACATGATCTTGGTCAGCAGATGGCGCCGTTCCCTATGTCCACAGTCTATGCTGATTTTCAAACTGAGAAAACGGACCCAACTGTGACGAACATGTGTTAAGTTATAAAGTGGACGTTGAGATGAGATTGTTTTCTCAAGACGGTGAATGTCGCTACATGTGGAAACCAGATAAAAACTTTTAAAAAGTAGATGAAGTGACGTCTTCTTAAAAAACACTGCAGAACAATACTTTACCCAACTTCAAGTATTTATTGTACACTACTGCAGCTGCTGCCTTTAAAGGCAGACGTTAAGTTTAGTACAAAATGATCCTAGTGTAGCTACAGTCGTTTACAAGAGTCCAGGGGTCAGTGAAGTGCACAGTTGACAGTAGAGATGCTGCAGAGTTGGAACGCTCAGATCTGAGAAGACTCCAGCCACAGTGAGGAGCTCTTGACTCGCGGCTGCTGAGAGTCCAGCTTCAGCAGCGCCATCACAGCGCCCTCTATCTTTGACATCCACTCTTTCTGGAAAACACATGAAGTCGACATTATCAGACATGATCAGACATGATCAGACTATACACAATGTTTTACTTTGTTGTGTGGCTCTTCATTTGTAAAATGAGTTCATCTGTGCTTCACTTTCACAATCCAGTGACTCTATTCACTGAAAATTACACCCACTCAAATATCAGTCCCCTGAACATTTCAGACTTTTTTTCTCAATTGAAATCCATCAATTATTTTCTGGAAAAAATCAAGGAAAATGTTGCAGAATACCCACAAATCTCCCAATGCTAAACTTTGACAGATTAACCATGAGATTCTTCGTCTAAAATTAAATGAGCATCCAAAGTGAATCTTAAATTCAAGTGTCTTACATACAGAAACTGCCTTGAGGAATAAAACATTACTGAGGATACAAACAGCAGGAAGTTATTCCTGTGGTTCTGAGTTCACATAGCAGACATGTGTTTGTGTAATGAACACATGTGACACGATGATGGACATGTGTGTGGCATGTCCATGATATCAGAGAGAACAGAATGTCTGTGGCAGCTCTCAGTGGACTGCAGCCTCTCACAGACGTCTCACTGGACTGATCTACCTTGGCAGATTCTGACGCAGCTTGCAGGATGAACGCGCCGATGCACTGCTGGTAGCGGTTCTGGTGCATGATTATGAAGGAATGAGGCAGCCCCGATGCTACGAGGAAAACCCAGAACAACAATTACATTAAATAACATTAATAAACACTGGATGTGAACACAGCATCAAATCAAACATCTACTTTCTGACCTTACATGAAATAGAGGCACAGAGTCGAATGTGTCACTATAAATTTGAGTTCTAATTACATGATGCATTTAGCTGATCGATGTTCTTGAGCTGGAGTCGGTCCAGGGAGACGGGCTGGTCGAGAACGGTGAAGGTGCATCCCTCCTTCAGCAGCTGATCCAGCTCCAGGTTCTGCGGCAGCCTCAGAGGATTCTGGTCCGGACCCATCGCCCTCTACACAGGAAGACAAGGCGAAGACGTTAAGAAGCTTTTTGACTTCTACTGGACATCTATCATTGGTCCAGATGACAGTGAGAACAGCACGAGCTCGAGCGACATACCTTCTTGTTTCTCTTCATCTTTGTGATGAGCAGGAACTCATCAAACAGGAACAGGTAAACATCGATCAGCTTTGTGTTCTCTGGACAGGAACCAAGCAAAGGCCGTTTTAAATGTTGTGAGAGTAACAATGCAAATTATACAGCAGTAATATCTAACTGAGTCCAATATGCATTTGTAATATTTATTGTTATAACTAAAGCAAATCTGTAAATAGTCCTCCATTGTCAATATGTGGAACGTTTGACCTGTAACCTTACGTCCACTCCCTCGTTATAAGGATGTGACTCCTGCTTCACTTTCCCTCTTTCTATTTTATGGAAGATTTTACACCTTGGTCCTTTAAATTTGCACATGAGCCTCCGTGATAGTATGTGTGGAAGTCTAATCGCTTGTTTAAAGTGTTGTGGTTGTGTTGTTTAAGTTTCGTAGGGGCTCCACACATGAACTTAATCCACCAGAGGATTTAGTTTTTTGGGACAACACATTCAAGGTTCAGCCCTTTTGCATCAAATAAATCTCAACGCTGGCATCGTTAGACTCCACCGGTCACATGAGCAGGTTAAATGCGTTGGACTAACGGCAGCTGGACAAACCTGTGAGCACCAGTTTCCCTTCGTGCAGCAGACTTCTGTGAGAAATGAGATTCTCCAGAGTGACGGTCTTCAGGAGATGTTTCAGATTCTGAAAGAGGAGCAGCCATTTAGATAAGAAGAAAACATTTCTCACCTTGTGACATGTAAACTGAAGGATCTGATGCCACAGTGCATCCATGATACCTGATCTCACATCCAGATAAATGATTGGATCATCTTATCTGCACACGAGAGGTATTAGAGGATGTAGTGTCGGCGTGGATCTGTCAGTTTTAATCTTTGCTCTGCAAACATACACAAATGTTACACAAACAGACCTCAGGGATGAAGGAGCGCTTGTCTCTCTCCCACACAGGCAGCCACACCAGGGCGTCTCGCAGCTGTTTCACCTTCTGGTAGTTATCCAGCCATTTCACCTTTCCCTCTAAATCACCTGGAAAACAGAATCGTTCCAAGAACAGTCAAAAATAAAATGATAATCCCATATTCAACTTAATTACCTCTAAGAATAATTACAATCAGATTAATGACACTTTTTATTTTAATGGACATATAAATTATTCTTTGCTGTGTAACATCATGTCAAGTAAAACACTGCTGGTGTTTTCCTATGTAGTGACGGTCGCCTGCCAAACACAGGTGTGACGGTATCATGACCTCACTCTGGTTTTACAGTAAATATCGTCCACACCCAGAGGACATTGGCTCACACATCTTCACATGCTTCACGTCACCTCTGTAGCTCTGCCGCACCTTTTTTTAAAGGTGATATGAAAGGCTGCAATTAAAGATTTGTGAGGCCGTGCTGGTCGGTTTCATCAGGGTTATTTGTTCAAAACGATTTCCCACAGCCTGTCCATCTAGTTACAGAGTAAACAGCCACAACAGGTCTGCAGGCAGTGGTGAGTGAACCGTCAGGGCTGCTGGCAGAGGTTCAAGGCTTCATGAGGCCTGTTTGCTCTAAAAGACACAAGCTGCTCTGTTTGTGTTGATGAAAAACAAACTGCTCTACATGTGCTTAACACCATTCCTGCATCTTTATATGTTTGAGAGACTTCTGCTGACAAACAACCTGCACATTTGAGTCACACTGAGCTCAGTGACACCGCCGAGACACCCGACACTTGAAACACTTGTTTGTCATCAGCAGCTGACAAACATCTAAGTGGTGGTGGTGAGTAATATAACCAGCCGTGCAACAATGCACACTCACGCTGTCATTTAGATTCTGCTGATAGGGCAGAGCTGAAACACTCAGGTTGTAAAATACTCGTTTGACAAAATAAGAAGGAACAATAAAACCATTCTGATGTTAAAACAGTTAATAGACTGATAAAGTGAACTGAGATAAACAAATGCTCTTTCTATAATAAAATCAAAGTGGGGCTTAAAGGAAAGTTCCAGGTCAAGAGTCAAAGATCTTTAAACTGACAAACTTTCAGACAAGGTCTAAGATATGAGTGACTGTGTCATGTACAGAATAAACATGCAGGACTTCTTATTTCAAAAAGGTTTGTTGCTATGAACCAAGTTAAAACTGAACTCGAAAGATTTCAGAGTTCAAAGTATAAATTACTGTGTCATCAGCATAAAGATGAACATGGAATCCTGAACATATTAGAGCAAGATAATTATTAAAAATTAAAAAAAGAAGCTGTCCCAAAGTAGAACCTTGTGGAACACCCTTTTTAACAATTGTCGTACTGAAAACCCTGAAAAATAACACACTGATGCCTGTCTATCCATCTATCTGTCTGTCTGTCTGTCTGTCTGTCTATCTATCTATCTGTCTATCTATCTATCTGTCCGTCCATCATCCGTGATGATGTGTGTGTGCTCACATATGGACGTGTCCACTTGCTCTGCTATGGCCTGCAGGCCTCTGGTCTCGTCCTCCGTCTCACACCTCTTCGCAATATTCCGCAGCAGCAGTGGGTATCGAGTCAGCCTCTGCAGCGGCGCCACCAACAGGTCGCGCAGCTGCAGCCTCCGGCACTGCTCGTTCCTCTCACACCACTTGAGAGAAAAAAGAAAAGAGGACAGGGTGAGAGGAGGGCTGGAAAAATGAGAGAGGTCAGAGGGGTGAGGGAGCTCGTCACGGTGTTTGTTGAAACAAAGGACGGAGGGGGGGGATGGGCGGCAAAAAGAATGTGAAGAGAAAATATATCTAAGAACAAAACATAATGAAAACTTTAACAAAGTATATACTTGAATTGTTATTTTATCTTCACTTAAATTACATTTATAGACAAATTCAAGTTATTTGAATTTATCACATAGTCATTGCATTGTTTGTCCATGTTGAATCATTCAGACATTCAGGGTCTGGTAGAAAACGTATTTAAAGATAATGGCATCAATAAAAAGCTTATTGGAGTCAGGAGGTAACAGCGTCCAGTCACTGAAACAAAAGTGCAAGTGGGAGTTAGAGCTACTTTACTTAGATTTTCTGATCGAGCTGTTGATGTGCAGGAATCTGAACGTTTCAAATGTTTCAAACTCATCTTAAGACTGTAGATATGAATCTGTCCACAGTTGAGACATGAATAGAGATTATTTCGATGATTCAAAAAAATCATAATAAAGATGATTCAGCGGTGACTCTTCACTGCCACGCCCAGCAGAGACGACTCCAAAGGTCCAACACTGCTCAGTGAGGTAAAAAAACCCAGAGGAACAGATAAAAGTAAATTAACTATTGGAGCTGGTCAACATTAGAACTGCATACATATATATATAAACATGGTGCATCATCTTCAAGGCAGGACACCACAGAGGAAACAGTTGCTCTCCAAAAACCAAAACACGAGAAAATGAGACTAAGAATCAGTGAAGTTTGCTAAGATGAAATTGATGCAGGGGGAAATGTGTTGTGGAGTTAAAATTGAATTAAGTAAACATCCCAGTGGTGAAGTTTGGTGGAGGAAGCATCGCCATTTCCTGAATCACTGAGATGAAAGGAAGTTTATCAAAGCATTTAGTTAACAAATGTCTGCAGGGTGGCGGCTGGGCGAGTAAATCGAAGCGAACAAAGAAAGAAATGTGCTTTTCTGAGTTCTGATTCAAGTACTTGTTTGAGGACGCCAAGGTCAGAGGTGGAGGAAGTGCTCAAACATTTTACCTGAGTAAAAGTTCAGTAAAAGTACCACACGTACCAAACTTTTTTACTAGAGTAAATAAAGTATAGTAATTGCTTTTATATGTACTGAAAGTTTTAAAAGTACTTACTGAGTGGAGCCAATTCCCTAATGCAACGCCCTGCTATGACCATATCGGACTCATGCTGCCTTGACTGAATCCATTTGGTGTTCGCTGCAGGAGGCAGGGTTATGTTACCTGCCCGCTCTGATTGGATGAGAGTTCTCCTTTTGGGATCAATTACTTGAAGACAAAATATAAAAACTCCACCTGAACAGTGAATGTTTAAAGGATGTGTTCAATAAAGACGCAGGAGATCATTATGGTTTCTGCATAACTAACTGAAGCATAATGTGATTATCAGTGATAATCACAATTTATGGCCAAATAATGAAGTGAAGCAGGTAATTGTTTTTCTGAGGACAAACACGTTCCTCTCTTTGTCGAGCCTTGGTGACACTAAATTGATTGTTTGCTGTTTAGGCAGCAACATCGCTGAGTGTTCTCTCTTATACTTGGCATCGCGTTGCCTTCCTTGTTGTCAAGGTACACGGTGTCCCTGCCACCACTCTCACTCACACACACACACACACACACACACACACAGAACTCAGCTGCCCTCCTGTACCTTCACGTAGAATCCAAAGTCCTCTCGGGGCTTCAGACTGTCCAGATAAAGCAGAGCCGTGGAGTAGTTCAGGCAGTACTTCTGCAGACTGTGACATACGCTCTCCTGGAAAGCCTGCCAACAGAAAGGGGTGTAACAGTATCACTGAGTCACTTCAGGCTGCAGATAAACAGATCATTAAAAGCAGGAAGACTCACAAATACATAACCTGTGAATAATTTTACAGTATGATGGGAAGGATTTCATCAGTATTTTCCTGAGGACATTTCTTTGTAACTCAGAGTTATTTATTATCAAAGGACGAAACATTAAACCAAAACATGAAATCAATATTTTCACCTCTGTCAGTTTTTTTTTGTTTTATACAAAAATTACACGAAAACTTCACCACACTTTTCCACACAATTTGGAGGAGGGTGGGGCGAGAAGGTACAGATTAAATATTGAACTCGAGCTGAACACAGGTGAACATCTAGGATAATGTGAGGGTGGTTTTTTTTCCATTTTCACCTAATTATTTATGGAACTAGATGAAAATAACAGAACTTAGGAGTTAACTATGAGTGTGTGAAATTTGGCGCTGATTCAAATTTAGATTCAGGTGTGTTTTTTTGGGGAGGTAGGGATTTTTTCATCTCCCGTACGGGAACAAAGAGAACTGAAAACCTGTAACTATCACCAACGTGTAGCTGAGATAATGTGGATTCAGCAAGAATCAGCAGTTGATATGTCTCTTCCACAGATTAAGAACTATGTCTAAATGGATATGACAGATCTGTTGCAGAAGGTTGTTAGTGGAGGTATGCACTCTACTGCCAATCTGGTTTTACCTGCTTTTTATAGTCAGTGTAGAAATAATACAAAACACAAATCAAATGAAAACGTGTCCACATGATTAGGACAGATAATAATTCTAACAATATTCTTAATGATTATTATTCATCGTTACAGAATGAATCGATCCACGTTAATGTGTGATGTGCCATTTCTGCATTTTTGCAATATGTGCACAACTCTCCAGCAAATATTTTCAAAGTTAAGGGTGAAATGTTTCCTTTGTCTGCTTGTTGCTTTTGTACAACTGAATGAGTGTACACTGTGATCAAAGTCAGAGTGTGTGTGTGTGTGTGTGTGTGTGTGTGCACATGTAAGTCACACTTGCCTTGCTCAGCAGCTCCAGCAGGGTGGACCCGCCGCTCTCTGTACTCTCCAACGTGTTCTTAATTGCGCGGAGGAGGTTGTTCAGGAAACCAAAGCTCACCTGTGGCCAAAAACACTCAGTGTCAAGTGTCAGCATGGAGCCATGAGACACTGTCATACCTCACTCAGTTTCAACAGACACAAACTACACAAATGAAGAGTGGGAGTTGAACAGATCACTGAATGAATGATTTAATACACAACAGCGCTCGTGTTTCTTATCTTGATCCAGTCTCACCAGGCAGAGCTCGTTGAGGTTTGCAAACAGTCTCCAGGTGTCGACGTCAGTCAGGGAGTTCCTCATCTGCAGGTTTGTGAGCGTAGCCAAAAACACCTGACAGCAACAAAAGAAGTCAGACAGAGAAAAAGTGTTGTGCAGGTATCAAATTTCTAATTCATGGTCGTAAAGAAAAGAAAGAAACTTTTACTTGAAACTCAGTGACAGGAATTCAGTGAGAGCACGAAGAACACAAAGCAGCAGGTGTTGGGTTTCATTTGGTTTGGGTCTATTTGTTTGGGGTCTTGCATGTGTGTGTTTGTGTGTGTGTGCTTTTGGAGTCACCTCTTTGAGCACCATGAGCTGATCCAGGAAGTAGACACACTCGCTAGTGAAGAGCTCCCATATGGTCTCTTCTCTCTTGAAGCCCTGAGGATAAGAGGTGGTGTTCACCTGGGAAGACTGGTCCTGCAGGAACTCCCCCACAGTGTAGTCCTGCACACACACACAGCAAGAAGAAAGGTAATAAAACAAACCAGAAGAGGGAACATTTATCTTCACATGTTCCAAACATCTCAAACAGCATATTTGTATAGTGGCTATACTGCTGTCACTGCAAAGTCCCATCCACCAGCCTGACATGCGTTTCAGTGTTTGTTTATATAGGAGCTCGGAGTCGACCGGACAAGTTGCTGCCTAGAAATTCAGGTTTTTGCACAACGTTGCAGAAACATCTTGACTCAAACCTCCGAACTGTTACTTCTGAGTCACTTGTTAAACACACTCTATTTGGTTTGGAAATCTGGATCTGTTCAAACTTTGCTTGGATTTGAAGTCGCTGTGCAGACAGAACCAACTGATGATTTACATAGGAAACAGATGACAGTAATCATTTCTCACCTTATACTTCTGAAGCTCAGAGTTTCTCCAGTCTTGAATCTGTGCTGCGGAGAGATATTTTTCAATGTCTGACACCATGCCTGTCTGCGACTTCCCTTTAGTCTGAAATGAGAAGAGTAGGAAAAACAATGACAAGGAAGATATCAGAAATGATTTCCAGATAATGATGTTGTTTTGTCTCAAACCAACAGATTTGGCTAAAGTTCTGCAATTAAAGTGTTGACCAATAACAAAAGGGCCAGAAGGGACTAAGAGGAACCACACTAATCTGCTTTGAGAAGTGGGTCAGAGAACAATGTCCGAACCAACCGCTCACTGAGAAAACAATCAGTTCAGACCACAAGCGTCACACCGGCAGCCTCACAACAACCACCAACACACAAACAACACACGTACCGTGCTACGTCTCGAGAACAGCCACTTCGACTTCTTAGTATCTGTGAAAATCAAACATGAAATGCCGATTATTAATAAAAGGTGCAAGGCTGTCCAGCAAATTGGGATTAAAATCAAACACACATAAAAGCTGAAAAACTGTGAGGAAGCAAGCAAGTAATTCTGTTATTTTTTGCAATTACGGCTGGTTCAACACACAGAACTGAGACAAATAGTGTAATGTGTTGCCGATATGCCTTTTGGACAAGATGAGTGGTTTTACACCACAAACAGAAACACTGATAATGTAACTCTATCAAGTATTCAGACAAATTAAAAACTGGACACGGCTAAAATCTGTCATCCCCAGGCTGAAGCTGATTCCATTTATCTGACTCTCTTATTAACTTGTGTTGCACATTATCTTTTTTAGTCATGGTCGCTGAATATGTTTTTGAAGTGTGATGTTTTCGGCTGCGTTAGTTATCAGATGACACAAAAACTATTGGACTGATTTCCATGAAATGTTTTGGAGGAGTGGAGCATAAGATTTGGTGCGGATCTGATTATTATTTTTCTCAGAGATTAATTCATGGATCCTGATGAAAATATGAATATTGAATTTGCGTTTAAGATTTATGCTGGATTATTCACATGCAGAATTTGGGTTTGCCAAGAAAAAAAAGTGAAATTCTGAAATTGTGAATGATAAAAGTATATTATTGGGTTGAATTTCTGTGAGGGACTAATTACAGGCTTTAACAGATGAATATAAATATAATCAGTAACCTCTCTACAGCCTCTTTCCTCATAAAGCAAAGTTTGCTCTTAGGAACTGAACATAAAACAATACATCATTTTACAACAGGAGTTTATACCACTTAATATTCCAGCTGCTCCATTAGATACAAAAAGGTCTCCGGGGGAAACATCCAATCCAGGCAAACTGACCACCACAGAACTCCGTCTTCTTTCCTGGAGCCTGAGGGAACAGGAGCAGACAGGTGAGCGTCTTCATGCCGACATGACAACTGGACGCAACGCAAAGCTCAACGTTTTACAACCAGCATCCAAGAGTCACTCTAACAAGCAGCATTATTATTCTATTGTCTGTGTAATCCAGCACGAAGAGAACAGACTTAATGTGAGGCCACAGGAAATAACAGAATTCCTTTTGTCGTTTTTTACGTGGTTGAAATACCACTGACATACCATCTGCATTGTGCAGCAAATTGCCAATTAACATGAGTCAGGAATCATAAAGGAAAAGTGTTGTGTGTCTGGTTTAAGGGGGGGTAGCTGCTGATTAATGGATCACCCTGTTTGTGTAGAAGGCGAGCTATCAGTGTGCACTAGTTATAATCCTCTCAGTGTCCCTTTCATAGTTAGTAACCAAGGCCTGGCTGCACAAACTCTGGCCTGCCCTTTGACCTCGGGCAGAACTCGAACAGCCACTTTTCACAAGTGCTCTGACTTATTCTTTTACAATTTTACTTCAGGGATTAAAGCTGAAAGAAAAAAATGTTGAAATAAAAAGTCAAGGACCTTAAAAAATGGAATTTAATCATGTGATGAGGCTGTGGTGTTCAGACTGTGCAGACTGATTCCCTGAATGAATCATTTGATTTGTTACGAGCAAACATTTCACACATGTAGTAACACTTAATCTGTGACTGTGGGGCTAACAATCCCAGTTAAAACTCGCAGTGGTTTAAACTGCAGCAGTTGGCAGATATAAGGCGCACAGCAACCGGACAAGCTGGTTTTGCCAACAGTTAGGTTCACTTTCAGCTCGCTGACAGTGATCAACAGCTTGTCAGTGACCCGTGCCCCAAGCAGTCTAACTGATTTCACGTCTAAAGTTTTCAGAGAGTTTAGAGATAAGAGGAAACAAAAGAAGATCCTTGATTAAAAAATCAGGTGGTGCATTGTAAAAAACACCCTCGTTAGAGATCAACACACTTTCTGATTGATAAAGGTCACAGAGGAAGTCTGACTTTAGAGTTTATGTGTTTATGATGGTGGAGCAGAAGTACAAGCAGGAGGAACAATGATAGCACTGCTGAGTCACTGTCTACTATTACATGTAAAATCTGCTCTGCTGTCGTCGCTTCCCTCGCACAGTAGCTGCACATTTCTGCTGCACGGTTGCACCAGCAGCAGGGGAGACAAACACATGTGAGGCCGCATGGCTGCAGGGGCCAAGAGGAAACTTAGTCTACAGCTGAACAGGAGAAACTGGGATTTTCCTCCAGGACGCTTTTGTTGAGCTGTAAAAGCACCAACTGTTCACTGAGCTCACTGACGGAGGCCGTGTTCCCTCCTGGTAAACTGATACAACCACCCAGCAGATCGATGTATACTCAGACAATGAGTGAAGCAGTAAATAGTCAGCAGCACCTGGGCACTGTAGAGAATGCACGGCTGACGGGACAGTGAGAGAAGCACTCCTCTAAACCAGGTCAGTGCCTCCTTGCAGTTCACTCCGCAGCATCCTCACAATGACATCCTGTTGCTTTGTGGCCGCTCAGAAAGCCTCCTCTGTATCAGCCTCTCTGCCACGGAGAGCACTAGTGAAAATGGGCGCTTTGTTCCCGCCCAAGATGAAAAATAATGATGCCCCACAACAAAACTGTCCCAACCAATGGCTCACAAGGCCCGGCCACTGTAAGAGGCACAGTGCCAGTGTGTAATTACTGGGACAATAGCTGCCTAATTATCCAGTGAGGGGAAGAGCCCAGGCAGCCCATTAGGAGAGGTGTGGGTGGCAGTAAGAGAAAACAGCCTTAATGAGGGTTTGTCTAGCTCGTACATAACCATGGGACTCTCAAAACTTAGCCCACCAAGTTTATGCTCCATTAACAGAGGCATGAATGACAATGAATGCACAATGGGGCTCCTTAAACCAAAGGTTCTCATCATCCTGGCTCCTGATGCGATATAATGACACGTTACACTTTTTATTTCATTATTTTGCATACTTCCATAAAAAACGCAGACAGTGGAATATCATCATGCAACGACAAAAACAAAAGTGAGCGCTAGCGTGCAGCTTATCGGTTACAGGAAATATTTACTACGTTCATGGTATGCAAACATGTCCTCACAAGCGAAAGAGAAAAGTTTGTGGCTGTGCAGACAGGGCGACACAGCCAACATGCAAAGCAGTTCAAGGTGCACCTACCGAGAACAGCAGTGGTCTTTCTCCTGCAAAAAAAAAAAAAAAAAAAAAAAA